AAACACATACTGAACTACATAAAGCAAAAAGTACATTTCTCTACTTCACTCCCCATCTCCATTTCCACTCCCAAGGAGTAATCACCACTAAAATTTTAATATGTGTCCTTCTACACCTTTTTCTTGCATATGCATATACATTTTTATATTTGTTCACAAAATGGCTTCACACTGTTTATATTCTTCACGTTGCTTCAATGTTAAGTTCTAAACCAGCACAAGACTAAAATGTGCCTTTTCCAGCAATTCCCCTGCTGTAGAACTGAACTATTTCCTGAACTGAAATACAAATAAACAAACAAGCATACTCTGCCCTTATTTGTCTGTGATTCTGGATGAGCCCCATTTTGATTGTAGGAGTATAATTTGCAAAGAGGTATCTCCATTCTAGCTCTTAGAATTTGAGTGGTTCTGAGCTTTTTAGGGGCCAGAGACCTCTTTGTAGATCAAGAAGAAAGCTATGGAACTTCTCCCCTGAAAATATTACAGATGTGCACAGTTTTGCAGACAATTTCTTTTAAAAAATTTTTTACTTTATTTATTTGAAAGAGTTACAGAGAGGTAAAGACAGAGAGACAAAGAAGTCTTCTATCTGCTGGTTCACTCCCCAGATGACTGCAACAGCCGGAGCTGAGCTGATCTGAAGCCAGGAGCCAGAAGCTTCTTCCACATCTCCCATATAGGTGCTGGGGCCCAAGGTCTTGGACCATCCTCCACTGCTTTCCCAGGCACATTAGCAGGAAACTGGATCAGAAGTGGAGCACCCAGGACTTGAACCGGCGTCCATATGAGATGCTGGCACTGCAGGCTGGGGCTTTAACCTGCTGTACCACATCACTGCCCCTTGCCAACAATTTCAAGGTTAAGAATTCCTTCTTGGGGGCCGGCCCCTGGAACAGTGCTTTTTATGTTTACTACTTGGCCCCCACTCTTTTTTTTTTTTTTGACAGGCAGAGTGGACAGTGAGAGAGAGAGACAGAGAGAGAAAGGTCTTCCTTTGCCATTGGTTCACCCTCCAATGGCCGCCGCTGCAGCCGGCGCACTGCGCTGATCCGATGGCAGGAGCCAGGAGCCAGGAGCCAGGTGCTTTTCCTGGTCTCCCATGGGGTGCAGGGCCCAAGCACCTGGGCCATCCTCCACTGCACTCCCTGGCCACAGCAGAGAGCTGGCCTGGAAGAGGGGCAACCGGGACAGAATCCGGCGCCCCAACCGGGACTAGAACCCGGTGTGCCGGCGCCGCAAGGTGGAGGATTAGCCTATTGAGCCACGGCGCCGGCTCGGCCCCCACTCTTTCATTCAAAACTTAGAGTTAGGGAGACCTTCTCTTACAGAGCACTATTAAATACAAATCATATGCACCTAAGAGTTAGAAAATAGGGGCCGGCGCTGTGGCACAGCGTGTTAACGCCCCGGCCTGAAGCACCGGCATCCCATATGGGCGCTGGTTCAAGACCCAGCTGCTCCACTTCCGATCCAGCTCTCGCTATAGCCTGGGAAAGCAGTAGAGGACAGCCCAAATCCTTGGGCCCCTGCACCCACATGGGAGACCCAGAAGAAGCTCCTGGCTCCTGGCTTCGGATCAGCGCAGCTCTGGCCATTGCGGCCAACTGGGGAGTGAACCAGTGGATGGAAGACCTCTCTCTCTCTGCCTCTCCTCTTTCTGTATAACTCTGACTTTCAAATAAATAAATAAATCTTAAAAAAAGAAAGTGGCAATTAAAAAAAAGTTAGAAAATATAAATTCTAGAACATAACTTCACTGAACATATGAAAGTTATAATTAATATGGTTAACTAATATTTATACTAGGCACTTCACTGAATCCTGATCTTGTTTTGATTCCCAGAACACTGTCTAGTAGGTATTATTATAGGTAGTCTGTAACACTTTGTCTAGTAGGTAATTTCATAGATGAAGAAACTGAGGCGCAGTGGTTAAATGACTTGCCTTCTCATAGCTTCTGAATAGTGACGCCACATCTGTCTGATTTCAGAGCCTATATTCTTGTAACTTTACTGTCCTACCTCCTTAAACAAAGAACCTCATCTACGTGATGAGAATAACCCACACGAACAATTATAGAACAATGATGTCCTAAACAATAGGGTATTGACTTTAAGACTTGGAGGAGCTCTTTGTTCTGGCCTGGTGCTGAAAGAGAAAACGTGCTATTGCTGCCATTTGAACTGGGGCCTGGAGGAAGGAGGAGAAGTGATGAGGGATAATGAGAGAATGAATGAAGTTGGTGAAGTAAGAACAAAAGCAGAAAGAGGGAGTCAGTGTGAAACTTGTTCCCTCGAGAGCAAAGACTTGGATGATGAGGAAATGGAAAATATGAGATAACTTAAAGGGAAAATAAAATAAAACTTGCTGAGTGATAGGATATAAAAACCAGAAGGGGGAAAAAAAAAACAGTCAAAGATGGAGGCCAAGATTCTTTACTGGGGAAGACGGTCACTGGACAAAGAATACAACAGAGCTAGACCATACACCTGCTTACTTTATCCAGTCATCTGTATGTTGCGAATGAGTGAAGCCAGGAAAAGAGCAGAAAAGCAGAAGGGCAGAGACAGACAAAGACAGACACAGGGAGATATCTCCCACCTACTGGTTCATTCCCCACGTGCCCATAGCAGCCAAGGCTGAACCAGGCTGAAGCACACAAGCATCTTTTTAAAAAAAAATTTAAGGGGCTGGCGCTGTGGTGCAGCGGGTAAATGCCCTGGCCTGAAGCGTCAGCATCTCATATGGGCACTGGTTCAAGACTCGGCTGCTCCACTTCCGATCCAGCTCTCTGCTGTGGCCTGGGAAAGCAGTGGAAGATGGCCTAGGTCCTTGGGCCCCTGCACCCACATGGGAGACCCAGAAGAAGCTCCTGGCTCCTGGCTTTGGATCGGTGCAGCTCCAGCTGTTGCAGCCAATTGGAAGTGAACCAGTGGATGGAAGACCTCTCTCTGCCTCTTCTCTCTCTGTGTAACTCTGACTTTCAAATAAATAAAACTTTTTAAAAAATAAAAATTTTTAAAGATTTATTTATTTGAATCTGAGTTACAGAGAAAGAGAGATCTTCCATCTGTTGGTTCACTGCCCAGATGGCCACAACAGCCAAGGCTGAGCTGAGCCAAGCCAAAGCCAGGACTCAGATCCCAGGAGCTTCATCAGGGTCTCCCATGTGGGTAGCAAGGGCCTAAATACTTGGGCCATCTTCTACTGCCTTCCCTAGGCCATTAGCAGGAAGCTGGATTGGAATAAGAGTAACCAGGACTCGAACCAGCACCCATGTCAACATCACAGGCAGCAGCTTTATCGGCTGGGCCACAAGGCCAGCCCCCAGCACACAAGCATCTTAACCACTAAGTTAAATGCTTGCTCACTCCTGCCATCAGTGTTTTTTGAAGGAAGAGTTCCCCTGCTAAATGAATGCAAACCACTGATCTAGCCCACTCCCTTTGTTTTACCAAGAAGGAAACTCAAGTTCAGAAAAAAAAGAATGGGCTTGCCCAAAGTCATCTATTTTATTAATACTTGAGCCAAGACAAGAACCCACTGGTCCTGACTCCCAGTCCAGTGCTTGTTCCATCTACTCACTAGGCTCTGAGAAAGAAATCTGGTGGCCAGTTTATGATAGCAAGTGCCCAGTGGTGAGAACTGAAGAAATCAGAAAATCTGGTATTGGGGCTAAGGATGGAGTTCAAAAAGACAGGACTGTCCCTTCCAACTTCAAGAAATTTGGAATGAAGGCGAGGACCAACTGTTGGGGTCCCCTCCTCCTGTAGTTAACAGGCATGCAGGATACTTGTCTCAAGCCAACCTGAGGGCTTCGAGATACTGGCGAGAAACTGGCCAGGCTGCTGTAACAGGAGCCCGGTAGTAGTCAGGACCAGCATAAGCAAAGTGTCTGTTCTCTTCTGTTTGTAGAGTGGAGAGAACCTTAGAAAGTAGTCCCAGTCTTGTCTCAGAGAGAAAGTGGAGAAAGGAGGGGTGAAGGGTGAGGATCTCATACTGCTGAAGCTCTGAGCCAAACACAGGCATTCAAGGACAGAAACCCACCCTGAGATCTGTTTGCCTCCATCAAAAGCCAGCTAATAAATAAAGCATTCCAGTTAGCCCATCGACAAGCCCACCCTCCTGACACAAACCACACCAGCACTGTTTCCCTCCAGGCATGGGAATCTGCCATATGAGACACATATACACTTATCTGAAGAAGCCCTAATCTCTGCCTCGTTCTCAACAAGTCTTCGCTTACCAGCCTTATTCTCTGAACCTTAGTAAAACCTCTGCCAATGTGAGGCACAATGAGGGGCCTTTCAGCAATGCTGCTCAGGCCTCAGGACTTCCAGGGCCACTCACTTAAAAACAAACAAACAAACAAACAAACAAACATGGGGTGGGCATTGTGGTGTAGCAAGTAAAGCTGCCGCCTGCAACGTTGGCATCCCATATGGGTGCCAGTTCATGTCCCAGCTGTTCCATTTCTAATGCAGCTCCCTGCTAATGGCCTGGGAAAGGCAGAGGAAGATGGCCCAAGCACTTGGGCCCCTGCAACCCATGTGGGAGTCCCAGAAGAAGCTCCTGGCTCGTGGCTTCAGCCTGGCCCAGCGCTGGCCATTGCAGTCATCTAAGGAGTGAACCAGTGGATGGAAGATCTCACTGTCTCTCCTTTGTATAACTCTTTCAAAATAAATAAATAAATAAATCTTTAAAAAAGAAAGAAAGAAACTACAGAAATAGCCAATACCCCACCCTCTGGACAGCAGAGACCAATGCAATGCATTCCTTTTCTCTTTGCTTCAATCTCCCTCCCTCCCTTGTCTTTCTCTCTCCCAATTTCTCCTTTGCTTTTTTCCTTCCTTTGTGAATTTCCCTTCCCTAAGCCTTGCTTTTCCTGTGCTGGGACTCTTGCAGAACACATCAGAACAACAGCCCAAAAAATACCAAGAAAGCAGGAAGGCACATCCTCTTTCTACTGCACCAACCACTTTCTCTGTCCCACCCAGGCCTCTCAGGATGAATGTCACTCGCCTGCTCCAGGCCACCCTGCTGGTCTTCCTGTGCTTCCTCACTGCCTATAGCCACCTGGCACCCGAGGAGACACCCACTGATGACCAGAGCCTGAGAAGCAACTCCTCCACGAACTTACTGGAATTCTCTTCGGTCTCCATTGTGGGTAAGTAGCCTGGCCTGTGGCCCAGCCTCTGGGCTATGGCCCTTGAGAAGGAACTGCAGGATATCAAGCCTGCTACCCAGGCTGCTACCAGGATCCATTGCCATCATCATGGTTTATTCCATGAAATAATTGTGGGGGAATAAATTATTCCTTGACTTCTTTGGTTTGGGAAAGCCCTGCATATAACCAATCTAATATACAGTTTAGCATGTTAGAGGCTGAGAAAACCTAAAAGTTAAGATGAACTTGGAATAACTTATCATTTCTGAAATTTGAGGAACCACAGAACTCCTATCAATGATAACAAACTTTAGGAAATGCTTCTTCATTGCTGCAGAATAACCAAGTCTGGGATGAGCCAATCCTGCCTTGCCAGGGTTGAAAATGACTGTTCCAGGGAAAATATGAGGGGTATAAGAGCCTGGCCTTGGAGATGTGGTTCACCTGATAATAAGAATACTGTATGCAAGGCACTGTGAGGTATTATTTTTACTCATATCTCACAGTTGAGGAAATTGAGGCTTAGGAAAATTAACTAGCACAAAATCACACAGGTCTTAATTGGCAGAGCCAAAATTCAAACCCAGATGTTTAACTTTAGAACCTAAACTCAAAAGTAGTATCCTTTACTGCCTTGCCTCTCACTAGGAAAAGAGAATATCCTAGACATTTTGGGATTAAAAGTTGGGATCAGCTTTGATGTTCTAGACTTTTGACTTTATAAACAAACCTCACTATCCTCAAAGCAATCCTGCAGGGTAGGTGTTACAGACCATATGCAGATGAGAAAACTGAGTAACAAGGAGGTTAAGCAGGTTACCTAAGGTCACACACTTGTTTTTATCAGGATTCAAATCCGGTCTGCCTGCCTCCCAGTTGTGAGAAATGGAAAGTAGGAATACAGGAAACCCTGGGGCATGAAGTATAGTTCATTTTCAGGGTATCCCAATTTTTTGTACCTGATGACCAAAGACTAACCAGGGCTAACCAGCTCAAGGGACAAGGCCCCTCAGGGACACCACAGGCAAACCCCAGGACCTCCTTGGATTTCTCATTTGCCTTCCTTCAGGAGACACTGCACTCTCGGGTTCCGGCTCCAGGTCAGCAGCCGGGCTAACGAGAACCTGCTAGCACGAGCCCCAAAATGTGATTCAGTTAGCTCCCTTCTTCCCTCCCCTGCCCTGAGACTTCCAGGAGTCTCCTCTGCCCCTCCCACTTTGCTGCAATTCAGGGCCTCCACAAACATCTGGCTTTGTTCCTTCTGTCTCACTTTGAAGCGCTGAACAAGAAATCCAAAGACATCAGCATAAAAGAAGCGGAGAAGAAGAAGAGATCTTCCAAGGTAGACGCGGGAGTTCTCTGTGGGGTCGTGTTGAAGAGGGCAGGCCTTGGAAGCTCTGGCTGGGAATGAAGAGATTTTTCCAGGGCTTCCTGGCCTAGAGCCTTGAGGCAGGTCCACAGAAAGCCTAGGGGGCTGAAGTTCACCAGCATGGCTTACTGCTGAAAAGCAGCTTCCCAGGCTAGCCAGGCACCTGCCTGAGGTTTCACATCACTCTTCCTTTGGGTGAATGCGAAGTTTCCCAAACTCTAGGTATTTCAGAACAACTTTCACAATGTTTGCCATTGTCTGCTCTTCACCTATTTATTGAAAATAAAAATTTTAAAAATACATAACTATGGTAGAAAGCCAATATCACTTACTATAAATAGAAACTACAAAAATAAGTGAAAATAAAACGTTAGTGAATTCCAGCTGAATAGTATTGCCTTGCCAAAGGCTCTAAATCTGAGCCCTGCTCTCTGTGTCAGTAGGCAAATTAGTCAATGTCAGAGAAGCATTAAGGATATAGTGGCACCAAACCGAACATTTTGTGTTGAGAGAGATTCAAATAACAATTTTTCCAGCACATAAAATAATCATCTGATTTCACATGCCACCTTAAATCACTTCACAGTAATATAGCTTCCCACGCTGTAGAAACACTGCAGATAAAAGCAGTGTTGAAATGTATGCATTATTCCTGCTTTGGTTTATCAGATCAGCTGTAGCCAGAGCAGTGAGTATGGGACTAGGTACTGGGAAGTAGGATTTGATCTTGAGACAGTCCGTGCTCTTCTCTGGGCTAGTTTTGCTGGCTCTGAAGTGACTGATAGTTAAGAAAAGGAAGATACTTTTAAAAGTTCATGGAAAAGTGGGATTAAAAGTATGAGTTTATTCTGGTAACAAAAATATTTCTCGTATGTGGAAAATACATATTATGAAAAATCAATGCATGGATTTCAAAATTGTCTTTGTACTAAAATAAGCATTTAATTCCTTTTTTCCATAAACTTTTTGTAGCTCTCTTGTATAGTGACAAATATATCTGCATGCTACACATTGGGAATATAGCAGTGAACAAGAGAAAGAGAGAGATCCCTGCTTTCTTTATTCTTGTGGAGAAGCAGGTGAACAGTAAGTAAATCAGTAAATAAAGTAAAATAAATTCTGATGATAAAGGTTGTCAAGAAATCAAATTGAGGTAATGAGGGAGATGGAAGGAAAGGCTTCTCTAAGGAAGCTTTTGAAAGCTAAAAGTTTAGTCATCTACAGCTCTAATGTCCAATAGAAATAGATGAGGCACCATTTTTATTTTCTAGTAGCCACTTTTTTTTTTTTTTTTTTGGACAGGCAGAGTGGACAGTGAGAGAGAGACAGAGAGAAAGGTCTTCCTTTGCTGTTGGTTCACCCCCACAATGGCCGCCGTGGCTGGCGCACCGCATTGATCTGAAGCCAGGAGCCAGGTGCTTCTCCTGGTCTCCCATGCGGGTGCAGGGCCCAAGGACCTGGGCCATCCTCCACTGCACTCCCTGGCCACAGCAGAGAGCTGGCCTGGAAGAGGGGCAACCGGGACAGAATCCGGCCCGGGGTGCCGGCGCCGCAGGCAGAGATTAGCTGGCCAAGTAGCCACATTTTTTTAAAGTAAAAATAGTGCAATTAACTTTAGTATTTTACTTAACCCAATATATCCCAAAAATTAACAGTTCAACATGTAATCAATTTTAAAGTTACTGAAATCTTAAGTCTTTGAGATGTGGTAACTGAAAGAGCAGATCTCGATTTCAATGCTAAATTGTCCACAGAGTGAAATGCAGTCCTCACCAAATAATAAATTGGTGTTTAGTGGGGGAAACGTTTTTACACTGCTTCAATTTTAAACTTAAACCAAAACCAAAATTAAAAACTAAAAACTCAGTCCCTCAGTTTCACTAGACACATTTCAAGTCCTCAGCAGCCACCTGGGACTTGGAGCTCTTCACGGGGGACACGCAGCAAAGAATGTCCCTAGGCCAGGGACAAAAGTCCTGCAGCACGAAAGGCCAGTGGGGCAGCACGGCAAAGACGAGTGGGAGGGGCGGGCAGCGGCCAAGGCACAGCTCTCTAAGGCCCAACACAGTTTATGCTTTAAGTACAGCTGGCGTGGGACGCGATCACAGGGTCTAGACAAGGTCCCTTTGGTGCACTGCAGAATGCACTATTAGGGGCCAGAGGTGAGCTGGCCCAGGGCGGCAGCGACGGAGGTGAACTGGGCAAGACTGCAGCAGGGACCGAGGATCCAACAGAAGCAGGGATACAGAGAGAACAGTAGTTAAAAGTGTGGGGCTGGGGCCGGCGCCGCGGCTCACTAGGCTAATCCTCCGCCTTGCGGCGCCCGCACACTGGGTTCTAGTCCCGGTCGGGGCGCCGGATTCTGTCCCGATTGCTCTTCTTCCAGGCCAGCTCTCTGCTGTGGCCAGGGAGTGCAGTGGAGGATGGCCCAAGTGCTTGGGCCCTGCACCCCATGGGAGACCAGGAAAAGCACCTGGTTCCTGGCTCCTGCCATCGGATCAGCGCGGTGCGCCGGCCGCAGTGCGCCGGCCGCGGCGGCCATTGGAGGGTGAACCAACGGCAAAGGAAGACCTTTCTCTCTGTCTCTCTCTCTCACTGTCCACTCTGCCTGTCAAAAAAAAAAAAAAAGTGTGGGGCTGGGTGGGGGCTTCCCGGGAGAGAAAAGGGCCAGACCAGAGCCAGGTAAACTTGGATGACGACCGAGGAGGGGACACTCGACTCGGGGAGGGGGAGACGGCGGGGACTTGCTGAGGTGCCCTGTGGTCGGTGGCTGGTGGGCAGCCGGGCGGGCATGTCCGGCGCAAGACCTCCCAGGTGGAGAAGAGGCCAGGTGGGCGGGCATGGCCGTTTCAGGCAGCCCCGGCATTTCTCCCGCAGAAGAAAGCTTCGAAGAAGAAGGTGGCGCGGCCCCGGCCCCTGCTGCCTGCGCCCTGCGTGGCCACCCGCGACAGCTGCAAGCCGCCGGCGCCTGTCTGCTGCGACCCGTGCGCCTCCTGCCAGTGCCGCTTCTTCCGCAGCGTCTGCACCTGCCGCGTGCTCAACCCCAACTGCTGAGCGTGCGCCTCCCGGACGCGGCGGGGGCGGGGGTCCGGGGCGGGGCTTGCGGGCGGGGCGCTTCTCGGGCGGCTTTTCTAGCAGGTGTGGCTTTGTGGGCGGGGCGGGGGCGGGGCTACTGGGAGTTGGGGCGGAGCTTTCAGGAGGCAGACTACTTGGCTACAGTCGAAATACAGTGTTATGTGAGCTACTCGAAGGTGTGGTGGTTTTTCTAACGGACCCGAAAGCGCTTGGTCTTTTCTCCGACCTCCCTTCATCCCGCGGATTGCGCACACGCTACCCCTCAGAGGCTCGGGAACCCCGTTATCCCGATCCCTCAGCAATCGTGATCCGGCTGCTGGAGATGATGCTGCCCACTGCGTTTAAGCTTGGGAACATCCGAGGCTGCCCTTAAAACCGGGGGATACAGACCAGCCAAGCAGAAAACACCGTTAGGGAGTCGCTTCTCAGTCTTTCACCCCCTCCTCTTTCTCAGGAGCTCCCCTCACCACCACCACATCACCCCCAGAAACAGGAAATACAACTCCAAGTGCAATCTCACTGGGCTACAAGGCTGGGCGGTTTTGCCGGTAAAGACAGGCAGCTGGTTGTGTCTGCACGTTTGCTGTGAGTTCTTAGAGCCACAAAGCTCTGGGCTGAGCCATCTTGAGCCTTAGAAGGTGTCGCTCGGGCCCATTCCATCCTCTCTGCCAGGGGTTGGGTCCTCGGAAGAGTTTCTCCCACCTCAGGCTAAATGAACACTAAGCATTGCAGTTTGGCTGTCAAGAAGGAAGTAGATTCAGAGATCCTTTCTCACTCCCCGCTCCACGTGTGCCAGCCAGTAAGGAGGCAGTGGGCCCAGATTTGGTGAGTAGGCAGCAGCTATGGTACTGAAGTATCAGAGACCTGTTGCCAAAAATGTCCCAAGCTGTTCCCTGAAATTGCATCCTTAGAGACTCCAGCCTATGAGTAGCTGAGGTGCAGAGCCATCTCCTTGGAAGGACCTATGAGAGGGGGAGTACATGGGCTACTGCTTTGGGGAGTGAGGGGGCAGGGGTGGGAGCAGCCTGTGAGGAAGAGCCAGCCGGGGTGGGAGGGTCATGTTAGACACTCCCAGCACCTTAGAAGAGGCTTCATCTACCTGCTCTGCTTGGCTCGGGGCGTCTCCAGCAGTAAGGGGAAAGCTGAGAAGACGCCACCTGTCAGCACCCACCAGCAGCTGAGGCTCTTTAAGAAGTCACTGTGTGGAAGGAGGAGGTAGGAAATACAAACAGTGGTGGTCCCAGAAGATAACAAGAAAGGCCCATGCCAAGAAAGGTTCTAGAGAGGCTTTGGGACAGAAAACTGGGGAGCGGTTACAACGCCCTGGTAACAACTTTGTCCTTGGAGTTGAGGGCAGTGGGGCTCAGGATCTAGCACAGGTGGCGTCACCTCCCCTGACCCACTTTTCCACTTTCAGTCTGCTGCCTTTTAAGTCTTTTATTTTTAAAACTATCCACTGGTTCACTTCCCAGATGGCCGCAAAGGCCAGAGCTGGGCAATCTGGAGCCAAGAGCCAGGAGCTTCGTCCGGGTCTCTCCCACGCGGGTGCAGGGCCCCAAGCACTTGGGCCATCCTCTGCTGCTTCCCAGGCTGTTATCAGGGAGGTGGATTGGAAGTGAAGCTGCCAGGACTCGAACCTGCACCCATATGGGATGCCGGCACCACAGGCAAGGCAGAGGCTTAACCTACTTCACCACAGCGCTGGCCCCCTTTTAAATCCTTTAAAAATTCCTCCTTTCTAAGGACCTTGCTCTCCACTGGAGACCCAGATTGTTCCTGGAGTGACACAGCTAGAATGAGACATACGCCTCTATCCAGCCAGACCCTGACTGGAATGGAGTAGCAACCACCCAGAGAGAGCACAGGAAGAGAAAATGAGTGCCCTAGGCTAAACTGTCAACACAGTTCTCTGCACTGGACAAATCTTTGTGTCTCTGGGCTTCCATTTATTTGTCTATAAAATGGGAAACAATCATTCCTGTTGTTATTGTTATAAATGCAAGGTACTGTTGTTTCTCTGTACCTTAACATTACACCACGCACACAGAAAAGCTGCCAGTCGCTTGCTTTGTTTTCTGTCAGTTAGGCTGCAAGCCACAGGGCAAGAACTTCTTGTTCCTTGGACCACAGCTGCTGCTGAGTCAATGTCATCAGTAATAAGAATGTTGGGAACACATTGCAGCCACTACTCCTGTGTTTTCCAGAGCTGTTCCCAGGCACCATCTGGTCCCCAGGGTGAGAGTGGGGATGCAAAGACTCAGTCCGTTACTAAAAAAGCCGCTTGGCTGCTGGGCCTAGGCCACCATAGGAAAAAAAACCAAAACATTCATTCATTCAGCAAATATGTATTGAGCACCTACTATATGTCAAGTGCTATATGCATAATGTAGTGAAAAAGAGCTCAGTGTGGATACTCTGCCAACAAGTGTGCGGTCCAGTGAGCCGAGAGCCTTGGCCCTTTGTAGAGGTGTGACCTATCGTCAGCGTATGTAGTCTGTTCCCTCAGACTCAGTTCTTGCTTCCGTTGACTCAGATCCCTGGTTAGGTAACTGCCTGCCCAAGTTCCCCTTTAGAACCTGAGATTCCTCCACCTTTTCAGAATTCCTCAAGTCTTACAGGCCTGAGAGCCTGGTTCTGGGCCTCTGCAAACCTCCATCTAGTCTGATGACCAGAACTGAAACTCATGTACTCATGTTGTGGTCAGTTACGGTTCCACCATTATGAGAATCTGAGGCAACATTATTCTCATTCTCTCTCTCTCTCTCTCTCTCTTTCACACATACACACAGTAAATTCTGTCTTAGAAAGACTTGACCTTTACCTTTGTGGCTATTAATTCAGATAATTTTTTCTTATAGGGCATAACTTTCATAAGGTGACCTTACACAAATTACTTGTTTAATTGTTTAATTTCCATTTTATTTGAAAGGTAGAGTGATAGATAGAGATCTTCCATCACTGGCTCATTCCCCAAATGCCCATAACTGCCAAGACTGGACCAGGCTGAAGCCAGGAGCCTGGGATACCATCCTGGTCTCTGAGGTTGGTGGCAGTTACCCAAGTACAGGAGCCAGCATCTGCTGCCTCCCAGGATGCACATTAACAGAAAACCGGATCAGAAGCAGAGTAGCTGGCACTCTGATAATGGATGTGGGCACTCAAACAGTGACCTAAGCTGCTGCACCAGATGCCTGCCCAAGTCACATTTGATGCTAGCATTTCCCGTTTTACTTAGTGAGAAGTAAATCAGAGTATTTTGGCAGCAAACAACAGAAAACAACTTTGGCTAGCTTAAGTCGGAGAGTGTGGGCTGTTAGTTGGCTGAAGAGGTTTGGAGACCTCAAAGGAAAACGACACACAGACCTCAGGAAGGAGATCTTGAGAGGCATTAGAGGAGCCAAGTTGCAGAAACCAATGGACGATGTCTTCAGGACAAGACCAAGGGGTAAGTCAGCTCTAGTCTCTTCAGTCCTTCCATTGGATCACTTAGAAATCAGATTTCCTAGAAAGCAGCAGAGGATGGCCCAAGTGCTTGGGCCCCTGCCAACCATGTGGGAGACCCAGAAGCAGCTCCTGGCTCTTGGCTTTGGCCTAGCTCAGCGCTGGCCATTGCAGCCACTTGAGGAGTGAGCCAGCGGATGGACGATCTCTCTCTCTCTCTCTCTGTAACTCTTTCAAATAAATAAATATTTTAAAAAAATCAAATTCCCTAGAGTTGATTGGCCCGAGGCAATTCATCTTGATTCACAACCCCACAAATTCTTTTTTTTTTGACAGGCAGAGTGGACAGTGAGAGAGAGAGAGAGAGAGAAAGGTCTTCCTTTTCCGTTGGTTCACCCCCCAATGGCCACTGCGGCCAGCGCACTGCACTAATCCGAAGCCAGGAGCCAGGTGCTTCTCCTGGTCTCCCATGTGGGTACAGGGCCCAAGGACCTGGGCTATCCTCCACTGCACTCCCGGGCCACAGCAGAGAGCTAGACTGGAAAAAGAGCAACCAGGTCAGAATCCGGCGCCCCGATCAGGACTAGAACCTGGGTGCCAGTGCCTATTGAGCCGCGGTGCCAGCCCACAAATTCCTTTTGTAATACAAAGTGGGTAATTCTCTGAGAGAAAATCAATTGTTGAGGGGCAAAATCCACAACTGGCCACTAAGAGGGAGCTAGGTTCTAGACCGACTCTGAGGATGCATCCAGTTCTGGATTATTTTTGTTTGCTTGTTTGAAAGGCAATGAGACAGAGAGATGGAGAGAAATCTTCCATTCACTGGTTCACTCCCCAAATGCCACAATAGCCAAGGCTGGACCAGGATGAAGCCAGGAGCCCAGAACTCAGCCCAGGTCTCCCAGGGTGTCAGGGACTGCCTCCCAGGATGTGCATTAGCAAGAAGTTAGATTAGAGGTGGAGAAGCTGGGAACTCAAACCAGGCACTCTGATATGGGATGTGGGTGTCCAAAGGAGACTTCATTGCTGAGCCACATGACCACCTCCAGTCCTGGATTTCTATGAAAGAATTCAAAGCAATGATTTTCAAATTTTATTTATGTATCTTTAGAGGGTTTCTAAATTTGAAATCTGTGTTCTTTTTGAAGTTTTATTTGTATTTGAAAGGCAGAGTGACAGAGAATTGACCTTCCATCCACTGGTCCACTCCCCAAATGCTTGCAACTGCCAGGGCTGGTCTGGGTCAAAACAGGAGCCCAAACTTTAATCCAGGTCTCTCATGTGGGTGACAGGGACGCAAGTACTTGAGCCATCACCCTCTGCCTCCCAGGGTGTGCATTAGCAGAAGTTGGGTCAGAAGTACAGTGTTCAAGAAGCCATGTGAGCAGGCACAGAAAAGGTCACGAGAGGTGCCCTTTCCTCAGTTGAAATCCTCAGGGGGAAGCTTGTTATATGTTACAGAAACTTGGGTGGGAAAACTCCCTTTGTTCAAACAGACACCAGAGACAGTGGAGGCTCGAAGCAGTTTGTTAATGCCAGTGGGCTCAATGGGAATCATTTCCTGAGAACTGAGCAACAATCCCACGTTTCTTATAATATTTATAGGTTTGTCAGCATCATACCTTAGCTGTTACAGCACTGGTGAGTTTAAATTGCAGGCTGCATGACTTAGGACCACACTTCCAATGGTCGGTGGGTCTGGTATATTTGTAAGAGATACCGGGGGCAGAT